ATCACTCTCCTGGCCAAGGCTCCTCCTGCCTCCGGATCTCCACTTCATCAGGATCACAAGCATACACGCCACTATTGCTGGAAGTGGAGGTTGCCAAATGAAAGCAGCTAACATCACTGAGCACCTACTGGTTGCCGGGACTCTGCTAAAAACTTCACACAGGTTACCTTAGCCTTGCTACATAACCCAGCAAAAATGGGTATTCTTATCCCCATTTGACAGATGAGGATAGTGAGGCTCAGAAAGGCTAAGCTGACTTGCCCAAGGTCAGCTAGTCCTTGAGGCAGGAATCAGAACTCAAGTCTGTCAGACTGCAGAGCGCACTTTATTTTACTCTGCCCGCAAGGCCTGGCTCGCCACTCTACCAGTGCAGAGGCACCCCCATCAAAGTGGAAAAGGAAAAGGGAGGCAAGACAAGAGCTCTTCCATTTCTGCTGCCCAGCTCCCAGGCAGCTCCAGGGAGGCCCATCCCAGAGCGTTTCACTCGGCCACCAGCCCCACCAGCCTGGAACCCTGGGAGGCCGACAAGAGTCAAAGGGCTCCCTGGCAGGCTTATTCTGGCGGCCTCCCAGCTGACTTGTGCTAACACAGCAACAGGCACAGGAAAGGCTCTAGAGAGAGTGGAAAAGCACCAGACACTGGGCGGCTGAGGGGGGAGAGAAGTGATTCCTACCCAGCTCAGACAGGATAACCCCGCTCTAAAGCCATCACCATCTCTAGGCCGGGAAAACACCCAAGGTGGGGGGGGGGCAGGGGGGCAGACACCAAGCAAAGAGCACCAAGCGCCTCCACTTACTAATGTGTTTCAGTGAAGCGTGACTGCTGGGCCAGCGCATAAAAAGGGACACATGCCTCCAAGGTGAATCAGCAAGCATGGAAGAAAACCAGTGCCCTGGGGCATCCCAGCAAGCTCTGCCTGCCTTTGCCCACATCCACAGAAACCCTGCTACCCGAGCAGAGGCAAGAAAGCACACACCGTGTCCACGCCCCCCCGCGGCAGCAGGTCCCAACCGGCCGTGGGAAAGAAAGACCCAGCTGCAGATATTAATAGACTTGCCAGAGGCAGAGAGTCAGTGAGGGCAAAGCCCTAGGAGATGAAATTATTTAAAAGGAGGCATAAAGTGAGATGGCTGGAAGAGAGCAACTTGGGTTTCCAAAGATGGGGCTCCTGTGGCTAGGCCCTGGGAGGAGGCACAGCCGCAGTGACAGGCTTACCCTGAAAGATCTGCAAATCCAAACATGTCTCAGGCTGGGGGAAAACTCTGTTGCTGTTGTTTCTGTAGGTTTTCTGTCCCCCAGTGTTCTACTTAGACAGATATTAAACGACACACATGCACAACACCCAAAAGTGTTTCAAGAGAAACCACTCCTGGGCCCTAATATTTGCCACAAGTTGTTAGATTGCTAGAAAAAAAAAAAAATGTATACCTATCAGACTTCACTGGAAGGACAGGGCAGTCTGGGACGTCACAAATCAGCAGCCAGTGGGTCAAATTAACCCCATGGGTATGTGAGCATGCTTAGAATAAAATAAAATAATAAATAAAAAAAATAAATAAAATAAATAAAATAAAATAAAATAAAATAAAATAAAATAAATAAAATAAAA